GGCGGATGTACGTGGCGAATCTCGCGCCCACTGCCCCCCAGGATTGTCGAAGTGAAGTGAGTCAAAAAGAAAATTTTCTGCAGACAGTGCAGCCGACTCGAGCCGTGTCTGGTGTAAGAATTACAGGTCATGATATGCAAAAAGTCGAGTCGAAGAGAAGCAAGAACCATGTCGAAGCGTTTGCGGCGCATGTGAGAAGAGAAGACTTGGAAACCCATGACGTGGGGGCAATGGCCGTCAGTCATGTAGATGTAGAGCGTAGGCGTAAGCTCAGCAAACAAGCAAGCGAGAGGTGATGGACAACTGGTCAGAAGCTTCAGTAGTCACCGTCGTCTGTCCAACCAGCCTCTGACCCCTCGATAACGCGCACCAGTCGGCCGTCATTCTCCATCATCAGCTCGCCTCCCTCGACATTACGAATACTTCGAATCTTTTTGCCCTGGACACCCCGCGGACTTGAAGCATGGCCACCCTCGGGAGTGTACCGCTTCATCTGCCGTTGTCGGTATTGGTGAAAGTCAACGTCGTTCTCTGGCGGTTCATCTGACTGCTCGCTGAAGGTCTCCCAGTTCTCTGAGCCTGACTGCATGGTCGCGCCTGTGCCAGTCGAAGAAGTCTGAGAGATCTGACGACTGCTTGAAGAAGACAACGACGGTGGTGGGTACGACGGAGCATATCCACGCATGCTCTGGTTATGCGACATGTATGGTCGGTCATCATAAGGGTCCTCTGGTTGTATGCTTCGGATTATGCTCTCGCTCCTGTCTCCTCGGTTGAATTCAAAGCGGTTCATGGGGGTTTCGGCAGGCTCCGGTGGAACGAAGAGGTCTTTCATGCGTGGCGGAGGTGCCATGGGAGGAGGCATCTTCCGAATGGTGGATGAATCTTCTCGGGAAGGCGGAGGAGGCCGACGCTCAGGTGAGTTGCCACCATGCTGCAGGTTCTTCAATGGAGCGCGAGCAGGAATCTTCGAGGGGCTCTTTGCACCAGCAGATGACATGACTGAACTGGCAAGTGGGTTGCGAGACACACTGGCACCGAAGTTGGAGACAGGCGTCTTCGCACGGCTAGGAGGAGGTCCGCGAACAGTGCCAGCGCGGCTTGGAGGTCCAGACCTTGGTACAGTCGCTGGTTTGGTTGGCATGCTCGCATTCGATGGTGTCTTTGCGCGCGGTGGGGCTGCTTTTGAAGCCGCAGCATACAGCTCGTCAAGATAACGCTGGCCTTGCACGAGGAATGGACGGCCATATTCGTCTTCCCACGACTCGAGGGTACTCTTCAATTCCTATGTCCTGTCAGCATTGTGGTACCTGGTGACAAAGCACTATACATACCGCTTCGACCTTGGGAAGCTCCTTCGCAATGCGTTTCCGCATCTTTTCTTCGCGAAGCAGCTTTCCAGGATCACGCTTCTCGCCCTTTTGGCCACGCGCCATCAGACGGGACGCATCCTGGCTAGATTGCTGGAGGTCGTTGCGCTCCTTGATCAGCTCACGGTGTCGATCAATCTTCTGCAGAATGGGCAGTCGCTGTTCTTTGAGCGCTTCAAGGCGGGCAATCTCAGCTTCGTGGGCTGATAGAAGGGCATCGCTGCAGACGTCTGAGAAAGCGGGTGTAAAGTCGAGCATCTCCTCTTCCGAAAAGTATAGCGCATCCCAGAGCTCCTGGAGCTTGCATCGCGCTTCCTCGACGAACAAGTGTAGGTTCTGGCGCTTGAGCTCGTTTAGTCTGGATAGCTCGTCTTCGTACTCGTTGATAGTCCGCAGACCACAACCGCGGTTGCTGTTCAAGAACTGTTTCCGCTCGTGATGCTCGACGCCCAGGCGCTCCCACAGCTCCTCAATGGTGCCGCGCAGCTGTCCCAGTCGTCGTTCCCGACTGCGCTTCTCTTCAACCAGCCGCTCCTTCTTTGCCTTCAGCTGCGCAATATCGTCCTTGTGTAAGCCGAGCTGCTCGGGCGCGTCGCGATGGCACTGCACGATGGCACTCTCTGTTTGGGCCTGTGGTGTTCCCAGCTCTGCCCACAGCTGGATAATCTCCTGGCAGAGGATCTTGACGGTGTTGATGCGTCGCGTGTACTCTTCGTAGACGCGAGTGAACTCGTTGTCCAGCTTTGCAACGTACGACGGCGAGATGTCGAAGGATGGCGACACTGAAGCGTTCTGTGCCGTGGGCGGCAGCTTGATCTCGACAAACGATGTCTCGAGATGCGACGCGTATGACTCAAGAGCCTCGGCGAGTTTCCTGACCTGCTCAAAGCGCTCGCGATGTAGCTTGCTAACAGCGTTGTACTTCTCCTTCAGGCCCTGCAGACAGCGCGTCAACGGGTATGTGATGGGTATGCTGTCGTGGTTGTCGTAGTTGGGGTTGGGCTTGTTGTCCTCGAGCGACGCCTCCATCTGTCTGATGGTGGTGGCCAATCGCTGCGCCTCTTCTGTTATCTCATGCTTCTCGTTGGTGACCTGTCGCAGCTGGCTGTGAAGGGTCTCGGAGAGCGCAGAGAAGAGCTGCAATTACATCAGTGCTATGCGTGAGGCGCATGGTGAGTGTTCCATACCTCTGCTTCGCGCGAGTCCCGCTCATGACTGGGCACACCGATCTCATCAAACAAGCCATGCAGCTGGCCGATAATGGTGGTGACCTGCTGGGCTAGGTAGCTCGTGTCCATGGTGACTGTAGACCTGCCAGCAGACTCCTCAACAGCGCATGCACCGAGCGCACGGCAATGGAGATTGAGCTCGCGCTATGTTGTGCACTTGGATGCGCACTCGTGAAGCGATCAGCGTAGGCGAGGAATGTAGTTGTAGATGAAGGTGTAGGTATATGCTGGTAGTTGCTGGTAGCTGTGAACGAAAGTAATTACGCGTCCAATGCGCAATATCTGTTCCAAAAGTACAGCAGAGATGCAGATTCGAATAATGCTGTGCACAAGACGAAAGTGATGCAATGCTGGTGGTGATCGCGTTGACATAGGTTGCTGCGGCCGGGTGGTCATTAGTGGCTGTGTTTTCGGAAGGTCCGTTGGCGAGGCAACTTCCCGCGTCAACATTCGGCGCGCAGGTCACGTTGTTTCAGCTCAAGGCGCTCCGCACCACTTACGCGCGGGGTATCACCAACAAAACAAGGCAGAGCCGTGGTACAATATGCGCAATTGCGGATACTGTCCCTATCAGCCCGTTGTTGGGTAGCTGAATACCTTGCCTTGGTGGCCTCACAACAAGATGGGACACATATATCTCTGATGTTCGGGTTCGAAGACACTCAGGTGGAGAAGACGAAGGACATAGGGCTTCAATCCCGTTCCACTGTCCTTGCTGAAGAACCTGTTCGTGCTGCCATAGCCAACTTATGATGGTGAAAATTCAACGCCATGGCTCCGGGCCGTGTTCGAACGCCAGCGGTAGGGATGTCCTTGCATCCAACGAATACGAGAACGAGTACCACAGGTGGACGACAAAGCCGGGCGTGCTCGCTGGAGACGCAAGTCTTGGAACAGCCAATGATTCACTATACAGCCCAATATCCACCATGAATGCTTTGAAAAACTCCCCAAGACTTCTAGGATATATGGTAGTGAGACAATAGAGTGATACTGTGGTCGAGAGGATGATCGCATCAAGAATTGTCCTCCAACTCCCGCACACTTGCCTTGCTAGTTGACAGCGATATCATAGTGCGATTCTTTGGTCCTTCATCATTCCACAAATGACACACCTCCAGCTCTTCGTCTAGCGGTGCGCCAATACTGCGCTGCTGCAATTCAAGCGACTCCAACTGAGCTGTTTGATCCTCATTATTCCACGAAACTGTATAGCCCCAAGATAGCCCACCAAGCCAGCAGTCGTTGTCTTCGTCATATGCATACACTGTATAAAGCGAAGTTTTGGATCCAGCCGCCCGAAGAGCTTCGCGCGTTATAAATTCCCTTGGTGCATCCATACACGAAGCAAGCACGACCTTGGCGCCAACTTTTTGGCCTTGTTTTACGGCAACTTTGCCTTTGAATTTGCGCTTAACAAATCGGACAACGTCCCATCCCACCCTGTCCGGCTTGTGTCGGCTGCTCATACCATAGAAAGGCAGAGCCGCTGAGGTAGAGTGGTCAAGATTCCAGCCTCGCTTCGTGAGCCTGACATCCGTGGGAGGCTTGATTGCCCTCACAAACTGTATGAGCCAGATGCGATTTGTGTCTTTGATGGTCGAGAACGGCAAGAAATTAAGTTCAATGTTGGCGCCGAAGTACAGGTCAGACTCTTTCTCGTTCCCAAAAATCGACTCATAAGTTACGGCGCTCCATTCACCTCCAGAAGTGCGTACTCCTTTAGTCGCATGGCCGCTATTTCGTTTCTGGTAGCCATCAGGGTAGTCTTTGTCCTTATCTTCCTTGATTCTTGTCAATCGATTTGCCTTTCTTTGCTGGAAGCCGTGAGATGGCATTCTAGGACGGGACGCAAAGACTAATGGGATACTGTATAGTAGTGATAGCGTTATAGATTTACTAAAGATAAGTATGAGGTAGAGCTCATATCAGAGCACTGTTAAAGCCATACTGCCAGGCATCAATTTATACACTTCTGCCTGAAAGCCAGCCCAGCTGGACTTCACCGATCAGACGACCAGGCTGGAACGTTTGGCAAAAGCGCCTCCCAAAAAAGTAAATAGTTTAGGTGCGGGTCCGTCCATCAGGCTAAGACTCAGATGAGAGGGACCGTCAGAGGTCTGTTGCTCAATCTGAATTCTCTTTACAATTCAGTGGTAGATCTCAGTTCATCACGATAGACGTACTGATCACGGACTTCCACAAGCTTGAAAGTATATGGAGTATACTAGGCAATTACAACAATCGTGGCCCAGGCAAAATATAAGAACCAATCTGGACTCGGAGAGCAGGCACTTGCGTGGGGTCTTCGTATTTCGGGACTACTAGACGCACGTAGCCATGCCAAAAAGGTACGTACACAACACAAATAAAAAAGAAATAATTGGAATGAACCTAGTGATGACCTAACCAGGGGTCGAACCTGGAATCTCTTGATTTCGGATATTTAATCGTAGTCAAGCGCCTTGCCATTGGGCCATTAGGCCGATGGATTGAAATCGGATGATAGATGAGGAGTTTGAAAATTAGATAGGCTCTATCTGACATTATTTTAACAAAACAGTAGCTTCATCTAATCTTCCTTATATGCTACGCAGATATGCGTTTTCCAAACATGCAACTTGCAGCTGCAGAGTTTGCTGCTTGTGGGACAAAGTGGGGTAGCCTCGTCTCGCTGATGACCCGCATCCGGCTAACTTACAACATCGGCTGCCTCAATGATCTTAGTTTCTAAACTGCATTACAGATGTCGAGCAAATCCGAGTTCAGGTCTTTGCAATCCGTGGGTTGTACGAGAGATTATACATACATGTGATCTGGACGACAAGGAGGTCTGTCTCGGAAGCCGTGCTTCATGTCGCGTTTCGCAGCCGAGACTAAATTATTAGACCGAAGCTTCCATAAAAGGCTTGATCACTGTACCTTTACGCCACCACATTGAATGTCGTATCTGTTGATACTGCGCATGCTAGACCCGATACTAAGAGGACCCCTGTGTTCGGGCTATCGCAACTCCAGCCATGCCACATCCCTCTGCTCCTTTTGTCCTTTCATCTAGACCTCGCCTGGTCTGGTTTTAGCTAGGTACAACTTGTAGTAAATCACCGTCCATCTCGCCGATGTCTAAGATAGGTTGCAGTAGCAGCACATCGAAACGCAAGAGATGCTGTATAGGGTATGCTAAGATCCGACGATAATGCCCAGCCAACGGGACCTCCGCGCGTGCTCCCGCACCTGCAGCGCCGAGCTTGAACCGCTGTTGGTTTTGGACCTACACGTGGTCTAGGCGAGCCACACGAGGGCACACTCGCCTTGTCTACCAATCTTTGGCGGATGTCTCCTGGGTCTTGCAGTACTCGTAGTCCATGGACGGCCCGTGGCTGACCTCTCCCGAGGCCCCTGCTCCCAAATTAGAACAACCTGCATGAGGCACATCACGAGACACCGTTGGCAAGATTGCTTCGACACTGCGCTTGGATATTGTTTAGATCCCACGTTTGCCATGGGAAATTCTATGGTGCTCAGGGTGAGAAAGTAATGGGAGCATCGTGAATGTAGAACGTTCCTCATTCCAAGTCCAAGCCTCACGTCCTTGATCGTCGATGGTTTATCTCCAGACTACGTGCCAACCTAATTTCCCCAGCTACGGACTTACAGCGGCTGGTCCCATGCAGCCACACTGCATGGAGTACGAGCATTACTTGGCATATTTCACCCGCCTCAACTCTTGAGGCTGCGTGGTACCTGGAGTACCGTTAGGCTATCTGAACCTTCAGGTCGACCATGGTACTCTTCCCTTTGGTTGTCAGTTCGTCATGCTGATCGGAAGTGATCTTAGTAGCCCTTAGATCATGTTCCAGAGGATCACTTAAGTTAATATTGCTTCGGCGGCAGTATCAGCACTGCAAAGCATCACTTCTCTTCATGGCTTAGCAAGCTCAAAACAGACGCCATTCGGGCCTAAGATCATACCCACGTAGGTCGTTCGGAATGGTGTGTCAAGATACAGATGTCACGCATCGGACTTCAATTACCCCTAAAGAAAGTCGACCCTTGCAAACAATATCTTAGGACCACAAAAGCTCACACTACGAGGACGGCCAAGATCGCAAGCCAGCAAGCTTAGCCGATGTGGGGCGAATGAATGTTACGAATCTGTCTGCGAAAGGTATATAAGGCACGAGGTTTGACAGACATTAGGATATCACCGCATCTAGAACTCGGCCTTCACAGGATCTCTTCATTATGTACATCCTTCCAAGATGTTCGGCACTGTTGTCTCTCGTCTCTTTAGGTCTTGCCCAGATACCGAACATTGTACCCTTTGGGGTGGTTGGTAGCCTTGACGGGTGAGTACCGTTGTGCACGCACTTGATCCTGTCATTATCTAATGCTTTTGTAGATGCACGGCAGGTACCGAATATAATGCTGGTGGCTCCATCCAGGTCAATGGATTCAACATCAATGTGCCCAAGAATCTCATCGTGGCATTTCCGACCGTCTTTGCGCCATTCAAGGACCTTTGCGGAGCAGGTGCTGGTGGCTTCGAAACTACTGTCTATGGCAACATTGTCGATGGTACGGTGCTCGCTGGTCAGATCTCGGTCGCCCAGCGCTTTGGGCTCGAATCTAGCCAGGGCTACATCACAGCTATCAACGCGGATGGAAGCCTCGACATCTCTGGAGGCGTAAAAGTCCGCGTCAACGATCCAGATGGCTTGTTTGGGCCCAAGGTAGAGACTGCACCCATGTGGGTTGCTGATACCAGCAGCCCTAGCGTTACCTCCTTTTCAGGATTTCCAATGTGTATCCCATATTCTGGCAACACTGATACATGTCTGAGCTCGAATCGCGGTACCAGTCAGTCTTTCAACGCCCCAGATCCATTACGAATGGTACCACTGAAAGTTGGCGACTTCATCACATATTCTGGCCTTCGAACTGGCAGCAACGAGATGCTTGTGTCAGAGATCGTTTGCATCAGTCTTCACATCACCACACAAGCGAGCAGCAGTATTCCGAACTACATTCGTGTTGAGGAATTGCTTGTTGGCATACCCGACACGGCCAACAACGTCGAGTTTGCAGATATCCGCGTGATTGGCTTCCTCTCTAGTTGTCCAAATTCCATCGTTACGATCAGCGCCATCGATGTCGACGCTTGTACCGGTAAAGAGACTTACCGCCAGATCGGTACGGCTACACCCAAGCAAGAGACTCGCTGCAAGTGGGAGGCCCGCATTGACCCAAGAGGACTGCAACCCTTCACGAGGGAGTACCGTATCACTACAAACACACTAGTTCAGGAAACTAAGGACGGCCTACAGGCGGGACAATACATTTCGCCTGTCACTGAATGGATCTTCCCCGAAGTTGACGTGCCTGGTACCAACCCACCAGCATACCCCTTCACGGACATCAATGACCTAGTTCAAGGAACTGTCTTGGATGGCAAGCAATACGGCCCTCTGAGCCCATTCCCTGGTCCTGCACCTCCTGCACCTTCCAAAACATGCAGCCCAAACGATCTTCCTGATCCGAATGCCACACCAACGCCTGGTGCAGATGGTCCTTTAGTAACGCCTACTGCTGCTGTGGCCCCATTCACTACTGCTCAGCGTGTTGGCACTAATTTCTTGCTCGTTGGCTCCAATACTGCGCCAAATGCCAACAACAACAACATCAATTTCAAGTGGAGTCAGATCTCACCATCCTCACCATCTGCTTCCCTCGCAGATAGCACCTCTTCCACTGCAACCGTGAACGCCCCTAAAGTCACGACCGAAACATCCTTTGTCTTCGAGCTCATCGTCAGCCTCAAGTCCAACTCCACCATCTCCAGCAAAGCCAATGTCACCGTCAAAGTCAACCCCACAATGAATGACGTCGTCACAATGGACACATATACCTGGGAGTCCAGACAGTCAGGTTCGATCTCCGTGACCTGTAGCTCAAACGTGGTCAATGGTGATAACAAGAAGATGTCGCTTTGGCTGAACAATGGAAATTCCAAGCTTGCTATGACGTCGAATGCACCAGGGAAGTGGATTTATAGTGCGAGGAGCACGAGTCGGCCGAATGACTTGAAGTGTGTATCTGATTTGAAGGGCGAGAGTGCGCAGAGAACGGGGACGCAGACGACAGCCAGGAGGCGGAGTCTCCGTTGGTAGTAGTATGCACCGGTGGGGAATGCAAGAGCGTATTTTGACGAAGAGCGAGTGATCACGATGGAAGCAAGTTGTTCATTTGGTGGTTATCGAGTGTGTTGGCAGACTAGGTCGGTAGATTAGAAAGAAAGTCATTGCGTTTCCAATCTATTCCTTTGTAAAGCCAAGGGCTCTGAGTAGTGAAATAAGTATCATCAACGAAACATAAAGCAGCCTGTCTGCGACAGAGGAACTACTTCCTTAAGTGGATGTGCCAGTCTTGGATGCATGTCTCTGCGTGCACCTATGCAAGGATACATACTCCGGTACAACTTGTGTCTGTTAGATCTTGAAGCCATAATGGTGCAGTAAAATATGACACGAGAAAAATTCCAAATTTAATGTAAAAAAGGCACTTGGTGATCGTAGATGCAGAAGTCGTGGAGGTGGCCCGTGCGCGTTCTCAGTGGGCGATTTCTGACCAATCGCTTAGGCCGCACCCGCCGCACGAAATTGTCTCGAACCCCAAACTTCGACATCGTGAACGACAGCGCCTACGAACGACCGACAACTCGCCTTCCAGCACTCACCACTGTCAGTTGCCCTGCACACGCCGTGTCTATGCCATATCGAATCCGAATACTAATACCCTGCGCAGCAGCGACATCGCAAACCCCACACACAACCACCCAACATGTCTCACGAGTCTGTCTGGTACTCCCGCCCTAGGACCTACGGCAAGGGCTCCCGCGAGTGGTACGTCCTATACATTCTGGAATGAGGGCATGGCCATGATTGAAGAGGAGGGTGATGTTGCCCCGAAGAGCGCATCAGACATGGGCGAATCAAGGGCTTATATATGCTGGGACATGTGGCTAACTAGGTACTCACAGCCGCGTCTGCACCCACCCTGCTGGTCTCATCCGCAAGTACGGCCTCAACATCTGCCGTCAGTGCTTCCGCGAGAAGAGCGCCGACATTGGTTTCGTCAAGGTACGACTTTCCACCCTCTACGGACAGCTGCACGAGCACAAGCGTTCATTCCAAATCATGCACTGCGTCCATCTTGCGCCCATGTCAAATGTACTCCAGATTACTAACTGTGTATACAGCACCGATAAACATGTCGAACGCAATGGCCGGAGTAGAGAAGGCGTAACGGTGTGACGCGATGATCACCCGACGACACATTTCGGCTCGACTCGGCTCCCACGAGCCAATATACACACGGGAGCATGGAGTGGGAAAGCGTCGGGCGGCATGATTTGCATGGCTTTCTTTAGGCATTTGTTTCCTTATGGTCATGGATTGAGGGGAAGAGTCGGGTTACGATAGCAAAA